TCTCACCTACATCGTCCATATAGGACGACTCGGGAACTCAACTCCTACCCCGGGCAGCTCACCTATCCCCTTATGCCCAGGGGAAAGGTATCAAGCCGTTTGACAGCTGATGCTAGCTGTCAAACCGGCTTTTACGCGAAACAGGCGGGAGGCAGCAAACAGCTGCGACCGACGAAGACGCCTGCCACCGGAAGTCTCGGCATGATTGAAGGCTATTAGCACTGGACAGATGCTTGGAAATGTTGGAGAATTTATAGGCAAATTATTTATCTGTATATTAAAAATATTTTATATATTTGGTTATAATTGAGCTGTATCACATATAAAAGAACAAAAAATATTTTAAAACAAAGTAATATGCATTCTGAGTTTCAACTTGCATGCTCATTGTTAAAAAGCACATTTGGACATAGCTTTATTTTGTGTCAAAGGTAGCAATATCCATATTTTTATTTTTATAAATAGTTATCTAGTTCTCCACTTAAAATTCAGTAGGAATTAGTGGGATCTGATAGTTGCCTGGCAAAAGAAAGTTATGCTTGAACAGAAAATTAGAAACAACTGCTTAAATATGCAACTTCTAGAGAGCACTGAAACTTTTTTTTGTGAAATCACCAGCTCCCTATACCAAGATAACAAAGTAAATGTTTTCAAATGCTAAAGACTGGAAAGATAGTGAAACCAGTTGAATGAAAAGTTATAGCCAAATTTTAAAAGAATTACTCCAGCATTAAGCCCAATATAGTCTCAATTCTTGCAGAGATTTACCCATTTTCTTTCATAACAGTCTCCCTTCATTAAAACAATTTGAAGTTTTAAAAATTATATTGTCAGTTGGAAGTTTGCAAATTACATTTAGGAGATAAAAAGATAATACATTGGAAATCTAGTAAATCCCCTGATATTTTACTTGACAGTACAGAGTTAAAATATCCATTGCTATATGAGGTACTTGGGCTGTGAAAATACATTAATTTTTTATATTAAAGTGGTAAGAAATGCTGACATGGACACTGCAAGTGCTGACTGAGTAGACTTTCAGACTATTTTTCTTTACTGAAGGAACTAATATTTACAGTTTATAGCTTTATTTCTGGCTGGTCTGAAAAAAATTAGTCCAAGATCCCCAATTGTACAAAACTATATTTGATATTGGTAGGATGCTATGAAAAGCTGAAATGTGTACCATGTTTAATTAGGAAAATTAAATAAATTTAATAAATAAATAAAAATAATTATAAAATTATTATAATTATAAAAAATTATAAAAATATCTGAGTGCTATACTTTTAAAAAATTAAACTAAATGGATAATTTTATAATAAAGATCCATACAAGCAGATTATAGAAAACATATTTTCAAGAATCAACAAAAGAAAAAACAATGAATTCTTTAATTGACATCCAGTTGTATTGGGTAAGCAATCCTTTTGAGCTGAGAATATATTTAGAATTTGGGAGCATATAGTGATAGGCACACTCACAAAATGATCACTTTGGGAGAGTTTCCTGTTCACAAAATATTTGCTGGTTAGTCACAAATTGTTTTCCAAATTGTGGGTCTCTAAGACACTTTACTTTTTTATGGGGGCAAAATCAATAAATATGCTAGATGCTTTTGCTTTGCTTTGCTGAAGGTCAACTTCTTTTATATATTTTTTAATAAAGAGTGTTTACAGATAGTCCTCGAGTTACGAATGTAATGGAGCCTGCCCATTCCATTCATAACTTGAAAACTCATGGGAGTGAATCTCGTACCTTGAACGAGATCACTCCCTGCTTGTTAAGATGCATGCGGCTCATTAAGTGCACATGAGGTATCTCAGGGTGGGGAAGGCCATGGAAAGCCTAGTGATGGAACAGGCCCCCAAGGCTTCCCTGGCAAATTAAGATAGCTCATGCATCCCCCTCCCTGCTGCGCCGGACTCACTTACCTTTCAAAAATTCTCTTTGCTGCGGTTTCTTTCTCTTTGAGGGAGAGGAGAGTCGGCTTGGAAATGCTTTTCGCACCAATAATGGAAGCTCCTGGGTGCCATAATATTGCGCAAGTTCAAACATAAATTCTCTGCAAAAGAGATCATGGCCCCTGGAAGCTTCCATTCTGGGGGGGTTGCTTCTTTTGCATGCCTATGGGGCAGAGTGTGGAATTGGAGTCAGCTGGGCGCAGGAATCAATGCTGTCCATGGCCCAGCTGTGCTGCTCACTTGCGTGTAGCGACCTTAGTTTGAGGGCAGGAACAAAGCCTTCAACTGAGCAGGAAGCATCATGGGGCAAATCCCTTTGCACCTGTATCCGAGCTGCTGCTGTCATAATGTGTTTACTGATTACTAGCAACATTGTCTTGGAATCAATTACTCTGAACTTGATGTGTCCCTCCAGTTAATCACAATTACAGCCATTAGTTTTACAGCATCTCCAGTTAATTATAGGGTGATAATGTATAACAATGTCAAATTGCTAGATGGTGTTTCCTGGATAATTCATGTATTTGTAAAAAACATGGGATAGAATACTGAACCAGTGGGACCCCCACACTGGAATTTCCATGACTCAAGTGCTCCCCTCACATGACCACTGATTATAACAGCAACTCCATCTCAAACTTTTAAGGCAGTCCAGAATGATACCATGGTCATGATGATGAATACTGAGAAATCTAACAGAACAAGAGAGTCATATTCCCCTGAGATCCTAACAAAGATCATCTACCAGACTGACCAATACTAAAATCCTGACTGATAATTAGGATATTCGGTTTCTTTAAAAAAGTGAAACATTAGATAGGGTGAGAGTTTTCAACAAGGATTAGGTCCAGGAAAGGCTTAAGAGAGAAAAGGTTGCACTGCTTTCTCTTTCAAAGCAGACAGAAGCATTAATGATTTCCCTGATTCAGCTATTTACACCCTGCCTACACACCCAAAGGAGCAAGGAATGGCATAGATCAAGCTCATGGGTAGCAGAGTTCAAGCTATAGAGAACCTTCAATACTTCCATGGGTTTCACAGACTCAAAAGAATCCCTGATTTTATACAGATACTACCAAAATAGTTTACCATCCAAAAGTGAGCAAATTCATCTGGTTTGCCTGCAGAGCTTTGGCCTACTTATCCTTTCTCAAAAATAACTGTGAAGATGTATGTGTATTGTCTTCAGTATATTTTGGATTCTAAAAAAAAATAAATTGAATGTTTAGGTATTTTAAGTGTGTATCTTCTGGTTACTAGTTTAGGCTTGAATACATTTAGAGAATTGATTTTTATTTTATTCTTACAAGTACAATCAATTTTTATTGTTTATATGTATTTTACTGATATTTATTGGAAAAGGAAAAGATTTATCTTATTCTTTGCCACCCAAAGGTCTTTAAGGTCTATTTTAATGCTATTGTAGTAAGAAAAAATAGTCCTGAAAGTCATCATGCATTCCTTTAGAATGTTTTCTTGGGCTTTTATTATTTAAGAATGCAGAATAGTGTAAACTTCTTTTTTCTCTCTTTATTTAGGTAACTGATCAGTCTGTTAAAGCATTTGCTGAACATTGTCCTGAGTTACAGTATGTTGGGTTTATGGGCTGTTCTGTTACATCTAAAGGAGTGATACATCTTACCAATGTAAGTATATTAACTAGGTGTTATTTACTGATATTTCTAAACAGATGGACACTTGCTAGATGCATCAACACTGATTAAATTACATATTAAGGAATAAGTTAGGAACAGGGATCAGTCTTGTAATGGACGGAAGCTCTTGCAAGAATACTTAAAAACTATGGTTTTAATAATTCAAAGGACACATATAGGCTGTAGAATCCTTCCCATAAACTTAGAAACAAATTTCTTTTCGTAGTCTTTTCTATTTAGTAGTGGAGCTTGTTTTGTTCAGGTCTCTTTCAAATAAACATATTTCTTCTTTAGCGCTCCCTTTCCTTGTCAATCACATCAGCTTAGATGATAATAATAGTGATATGTTAAATTTATATGCTGATTCCCAGCAGAGTCATCAGCGTATTATGATGTTAGAGATCTATGTTCATTACAGATAGTTCTCAACTTACAACTGTACTAGAGTCTGGAATTTCTTTCTAATTTAAGATGGTCATAAGGCAAGGCATTCACGTCACCAGATTCAGTTTTATGATTTTTTTTGCAGCAGTTATTAAGTGAATGCCATAGTCATTAAGCAGATGCCAGGGTCACTAGTGTATTCCTATGGTTGTTTTTTGCTGGAACAATGTAAAGTTGAGCCAATTGCCAAGCACCCAAAATGCGATCATGTGACTGTGAGGTGTGTGCAGCTGTTGGAATCTTGAACTGGGTCATAAGTAGCTTTTGGGGGTCCATCATAAGTTCGACCAATCATAAGTGACTGGTTGTAAATCAAGGACTACTTGTGTTTAATGTTTATAGTGAATCAGATTTGCCACTTTCATTTTTTTAAAATCTGTTTGTGAATTGCTATTAAATTTTTTGCTCTGCTTTTTGCCCTTCTGTCAACTTTAAAATAAATAATTTGATATAATTAGGAAACTTCTCCCCAAGATCTAGATTTTTCATCCATATTTTTTTAATGAATGTTTCTGATACTTATCTATGCAGGGTTTCATTGTTTACCTCCCTTCATTATGAGACCTTTCTGTTTGTTCCCATTCTCTTCTTTTTCAGCCCAGTATAATTTACTGGATTCTTGTAGGGTTAAAATGAGGAAGAATGCCATCCTGAGCTCCAGACAAAAGGTGAAATATAAATGTAATTAGTGAATAAATCTTGTTTTCCACAGCAGAGATAATACCAGTTGTAATTTCCCTGATTCACTTTTTAAAAAGTAGTTACATTATATTGGCCACTTGCTAATCCTCTAAAACAGAGACTAATGTTAAAGATATATTACAAGAGGGACATTTTCATTTTTTACTTCTTCAAGAACAGTTGAAGAATATTGTATTTTTGGTTTATTAATTTGGAGCTTAAGATGTGTCACCATAGTTTGCCTCAGCTCTTCAGAATTGCTTCCTAAACCATCCACTAAGGCAGAGGTCCCCAACCTTTTGGGCACCAGGGACTGATTATGTGGAGAAAGGTTTCACCGCAGCCTGGAGGGTGCACGGTTTTGTGTGTTGCCTGCATCCTGTGGATGGGGCTTTGCTTGTTTGTGCTGACCGGTTGCTGGCATGCTGCAGCCTGGTATTGGTCCACGGACGGGGGACTGGGGACCCTTGCACTAAGGCATAGGCTCTGTTATGTATTTTCTGTTATATAAGAAAAGGCAGTGTTAGTCCTTGTGTTGTATTATAATTTTGTAATGTTGTACGCTTTTATTCTATAACTGTATTTTTTTCTACATTCTTCTGACCATTTTTGCAATAGGGAAGGGCTCAGAGATCTCTCTTATTCTTACTCTTTGTGCTGCAAACCAAATAGTAACAAGTTCACAGAAAAATAATGACTTTCTAATCAGTTGCTTCTACGGTCTAATGAGGAACAGAAAGTTGCATTGGGTGAGGGAATGGCTCTAGCAGTGTCAGTCAACAGGGAGGGGGAATCCAATCCAGGAAGATCAGAACGGTGTACGAATAGAAAAAAGTGGATGAGGGAAGAAGGGGGAGAACCAGATTGGCAAAGCTGTAGGTTGCTGCTACACTAACAAAGGTCAGCCTTTATCTGTAATCATTTGTAAATGGAAGATAAGAAAAATCAGACTATCTAGGACTAGAAGTATCCTGAATCTTGCTAGAAATAAAACTTTTCAGCTCATGTTCAACCTGGTCATCAAAATAAACTTAAGATTAGAACTCTCCCATTTCAAATTCCAGCAACTCTGACAAGGAAAGCGTAGTGTAAAATTATTCAGAATAATAATGTATTGTATTACATCATTAGATTACCTTTTAAACTACTGCAATGTTATATTTTTTTGTGCCAAATGAGCAGTTTTAATCTTGGTGTTTAGCTCCATTTTTACTTGTTTCCATAAACTAATTCTTTGGTTTTTGCTAATAATGTGACTTTGAAACTTGACCATTAATTATAGCATTAGTAGGCAACCTGAATAATACTAAAGGTCACAGTTAGAATTTAAATTATATGGACAAGGTTGTAAGTGAAAAGTAGGAAAAGCTGAATCAAAGGCAGAGCACTGAAGTGTCCATCTCTTATAAAGGGGTAAAATCTTTATAGTCCAGTAATAAGCATAGACAATTAAAAATAGAAACAATCTATAAATTAAATATGTTTCCAATAGAAGCAAATATTTGTAACTCAGAGCTTAACTGTGAATCCTTAGTAGTCTTCAAAAGCACTAAGGATTCCACGATTAAACGTAGTAGCTTTCAAATTCATTTCTATTTACCAAAACTGAAATAACTTTCATGTATTTTAAAACCAGTGGAAATGCTTTGTTGTTCTGGGAAAATCTCAGTTATATTATATTCTTCATGTAAAATTTGATTATGTATTTTGAGGGTAAAGGTTGAAGGATGAAGATTATGTATTTATTTAGTTCAGATATTTAAAAGGATATCATTTCAGTAGCTGCTTTTTAAATTTTTTATAGGGTTTGTGCTTATAAATATTAGTATCTATTTTATTCATTTATTTTTCAAATTTTTTGAACTGCCATCTCTCAGACAAGGCAGTGTACAAAAAAATGTTAAAATATAAAAACAGCATACAAGAACTTTTTTGTGCGGCTGCTGATAAAAACAGGATCGCCAACATCCGATAACCGATATAGCACAAGAAGAAGAAGAAGATACAAGAATTAAAAATTTAGAATTTAAAGATGCTTGAACCATGTTAAAAATTAGTCAAAAGGCAAATGGGACCAATGAGGCCCATGGCTGCATTATCCCTGTTGGTTCCCCACACAAGGCTGTAGAGCCATGTTTAACTCCTTTTCAGAAGGCCAGGGCAATGGAGGCCTATCTCACCTCCAGAGGGAGAATATTCCATAGGGCACTGATGATGGCAGAGAAGATTTTCTTCCTAGACCCTGCCAATCAGAATTCTGTAACCGATGGTGTCTATAACATACTTTCCCTGCCTGATTGGGTGGGATGGTTTGATGTATTGGAATGAAGATGGTTCCATAGGTAGCCTGGCCCCATGCTGTGTAGCTCTATTGCCTTCTCTTGGTCACCTTTTTGATAGTTATCAATTTTTCCAAGCATCAAGATCTTCTCTAGTGATTCTTTGCTTCACATTATATGTCCAAAATATCTGAGATTTAGCTTCATTATTAGCATCACAGTTCAAAGACATTATTTTTCTTCATTCAGCCTTTTTGATCATCTAGCCTTTTTACACTACAAGTAGGAAAACTGGTCTTGACTTACATAATCATATTTTTTCCCAAAATATTGGAATAGCAGAATTGGCCTTTGACTATCTTCTTTTGCCTTCAACAAGAATTTCCTTAATTCTGCTCTGCTTTCAGATACTAAAGTGGCATCATCAGCATAACCGAGGTTGTTAATGTTTTTCTCAGCAATTTTAATTCTAATTTCTATTACTTCTAATTTATCATTAGAAGTTTGACATTTCCTCCCATTGAAAACCTTGCTGTATCAGAGATTTTCCACAGACTTGAGGAACCTTTCATCCATGGGAGATAAATACTGAAAAAAAAATTGTTTTAAAAAACCAGGATGTTATATAATTACTGCTTGTTATGCTGTTAATATTTACATTAATAAATATGTTTATATTCAATTATAATTATTGGCAAACAGGAACTTTGGAATTGTTTATAATACAAGTACAAAATAATTTTATTTTCAGTTGGAATGAAATTTTTTGAACTTTGAATTATTCTCAACAAAAAAGAGAATTAAATTATAATGGGAGGTAGAACATTGCATATAAGAATAAGAATAATTAAGTATGCTTATATTTTACTGTCTGTTTTATTTATCTTAACAGCTAAGAAACCTTTCCAGCTTGGACTTACGTCATATCACAGAACTGGATAATGAAACTGTGATGGAGATAGTAAAAAAATGCAGAAACCTTACCTCTCTTAATCTGTGTCTGAATTGGATCATAAATGACAGGTAACTTTTTTTATAGAAAAGTGAAGTGAATCCACAATATTAGTAATTACTAATAATTGATAATTTTCAGCAGATAGGGCAAACTGAATAATAGGTAGTTTTCTACTTATGACTGTTGACTGTTCACAATTACAGTGGGACTGAAAAAGTGACTAAAGCTCTGTTGTCTTTGGGAAGTGTTTTGCTGCTTGGCTGCAACTAGGAGACAAAACAGCTGGGTGAACTACAGTATGTGTTTCTGTGACTGCTTGCCACATACAAGGTGCAGAGCAGGGCAGCCCAAAAGACATAAAATGGGGGAGGGGAGAAATAGGCAGGTAAGGGCTGTTGGAGGCCTTACTGAGGTTTGGGGATGGGAAGGACGAAGTCCAGAATGGCTTCGATTTTAACGACCCCAATTCTTGGTTAACAGTTGCAATGAGAAATGTCTGTCATAAATTGATGTAGTCATGTAATATCTAGCTTCATGACAGCAACAACTTATGATAGAAATTATCCCAATTGTCATAGGTTGAGGTCTACCTATAAAAGACTACTGAAGGATTTGTTAGTTTAGTGTAGCTATTTAAGTATATTTTGTTATTTTTTAAAAAATTATATGCTCACCTAAAATATAGTGTATATATATACTATAGCATATATATAAACCTGATTCTACATTTATTGGTTCATTAGGCTCACTTTTAAAAATGTGATTCTATTCCATTTATTTATTTTACAAAATTAAAAAATAAAAAGTAATGTATCTTTTCCCTTGAATATTTTGAAAGCATTTTATATATAATGCTGACTAAGTATAATTATTGTAAAAACAACATAAATTGTTTTTCCATTCATAGAAGCAACTAATTATATGAAAAAATATGTTAGAAGCCTGAGGAAGAAGTGCGAATAGAACTTTACTATCTCATTCCTTCTAGTATTAGTGAATTGCTACTCCGCTCGTATCAAGATTCAGTATTATTGAAATTGAGGTTTTGACATGACAAACATATATATCATGTTTGCATACTAAAAGGAATACATTAAATTTTTCCTTTTGCACAGATAAGGCAATTTGTGGGTATTACAAGGAAAAGAAGAAAGGATGAAAAATATTTTAGTAAAATAAATATATTTATATATTCTGGTGAGGAGAATGTAAAGCTAAAACAGGATGGAGAAAAGAGCATATATTTGGTACTTGGAAGGTGAAGGGAAGATATCTACTTTTAAGGGCCAAGAACCAATTGTAAAGGGCACCTTCAAATACAGTTTTCTTTCCTGGAATTACAACTTAATAAATAATAAGATGCTAATTATTCTGTAACTATTTTTGAGTGTCAGATTTTAGTCTGATCTTAATAAGTTTAACAACCTTGAGCTCTTGGCTAAATTTAAAAAAAGTTTCTGTAATGACACAATCCTAAAAACAAATTTTAATTGGTTTGAATAAAATGGGATATACATCAGAGTAAAAGTGCATAGTGCTGTATAGTAGGGCCTTGCAGAGATCTATTTCAAAGGGCCAAATGTGGATATTTGTGTATTATCATTTGGGATCACTTTAATATAGTTGCATCTTTTTGGGAAGTTTCATGGGTGCTTTCTTTGGCTTAGACGTGATTCTGGAAGAACTTGCATTTGGTTAAAGGTATTCTGATAAGTATTACAGATAGTCCTTGCATAACAACCAGTTGAATTAAGATGGACTTAAAAAAATTAGTTATGACCTGCCCTCAAACTTAAGACTGTTGTACTTGCGCGCACACACACACACACACACACACACACACACACACACACACACGTGATTTCATTTCAAGCATTTAGAATAAATAGCCCCATGGTAAGATAGGAGGTAAATAGATTTAACAAATAAAAATACATTTGGCAACTGCTCACATTTATGACTGGTTGCAGTGTCCTATGGTCGTTTGTCAATGATTTGTGATGTTTTTACCATTTTCCATCAGAAAATGCCAAAAGAAAATCCCATTGGATAGGCTGAATTTGCACCACAACCATGTGGTTTGCTTAACAGCCATGTGATTTATTTAATGACCATGGTGTCTTGCTTGATGACCATCATAAAAATGGTTGTAAAATTGAGTCAGATCACATGATGACCAGAATGAATTATGATAAAAATTTCAAGCTCAGTTGTAGTCATACGTCGAAGACTATCTGTACATGAATGTCCTTTCTTCTATCCTGAGTTATATATTGCCCTTTGAATCAGAATATTGGTACTACACATTAAGAATATATTTGTAGTAGCTTGCAGAAATATTTTTAAAAGATCAGTAATTCAAGATACAGAAGTAGAAGATGAAGAATTTACATTTAATCTGAGAATATTCAAATAAAAATCAATTAAGGAACAAATTTTTATTTGATCTGCTGAAAATTAACAAGTACAGTGGGATTAACCTATTGAATATTGGACAGAAAAATGTCTAATTATAATTGTAATGACCTAGGACATGAAGTCCTTCTTCTCTGGGAGTTATAATGCACGGTAAGACAATTGCATAGTAATTTGTCTTAAGATTAATAGAAGAATATATTTTTCCTCTTTGATTCTATATAGCCACTTTCTAAAAGATATTTTGTTAGATCAAATTATGAAATTAAAATGGTAAAAGATTTTCTGCTTTAAAGTAGGTCCCTTTTGCCTTGGCTTAAGTATGTTGGCTTAGCAATTTTGGGGTTTTGACATGGAAATATTATATGGTTAGTCCTTGTTATCCATGATTTATTATACACTGTTTTGTACATACAGTTCAGACCTTGTTATTTGCAATGAAGGTTTTCATGTATCAAAGGCTTTACCTTGTTTTTATATTATTTTATGAATGCACAGTGCAATAACACTAATCCGTCTTGAGATATGAATATCTGTGCGTCCTGTAGTTTTGTCTCCCTGTGAAGCACTAAAGTTAGAAATAAGTCAACAGTTTATATCCATTATCTATAAAATTAGAATTTATGTTGCAGGTATAATTATCCGGGTAATTAGAAACAAATGGCTTTCTCTAAGGTATTAAACAGCTTCATGAATAATAATAATAATAAGGTATTATACCAATTCAGGGAATAATAATAACAAAAAGTTACTAAACTGGTTAATGAAAAGAAACATGGAATATGTATTTTGGTAACAGGGCTTAGGCATCAGAATAGAGTAACATTGTACAGAAATGGATCATAAGAATTTTGTTTTGAAGATCAAACAATGGTCTGTATGACATTTGTTTTAAATGACTTGGGATTTTAGATAAGGAAACAAGAAAGCAAAAGGATTCCAGATTCAGCAGAGTTCCAAACAGAGATTCAGAGGAAACATCTGCCTGCTATAAGTACATTAACTTTATGCTGGCACTCATTATATGACAGTATGTGTTTACCTCATTTGAAGTTTATTAAGTTTAATTATGGTAGGAATAATTATAGGAAACAAACCATGTTTAGTTGAAGTTTCCAATGGAAATGGTGTATTAATGTGAAGAAACAAAACTGTAATGCTTTGTAGCAACTTTAGCTATTAATAGGTGTCGTGTTATGCTTTATCAAAATAACAAATTACACTATGGGTTACTGTGATGTATAAAATATTGATTTAGTCAGAATAAAGTTCTGGGTAATCTAGATCAAATTACTAACACAGTACTGTACTAATACTGAATTTGCCTTCTCTAAGAATGAGATTTGAGGTGGCAAGGGGGTTATAACCATGACACCATGGACATATCCCAGATCACCAAGATCCTGACATGGGATAGTGTTCGTACATCAGATCTGGTATTTCAGTTGGAATAGTGGCTGTATGATCTGAAATCGGAGGAGCTCTTGGTGTCTTCCTTATCATGTTAGAACATGATTTTCATGGGATTCTCTAATGCCACTATCCACTGCAGCGAGGCTACACTTATTGTACTTGTCCACCTCCAGTGACTGAATGGACCTGGGTGGTTTCTGAGGGAGCTGGTAATTGTTCCTGGTAGTTTGTTGCATGGTCCAACTGAAACCTTGGCTGCTGCTTGGAATAAGGGAGTGGCAGAGGCATTTGATCAGATTCCATTCATGCGGTCTTTTCTCTCTCAGGGATTGGGTTGAGAACTACATATATGTATTAGAATTGTAAATATATACATACCGGATACACACACACAGATTCATGAACAGTAACTGATTTGTTTCACTAAAGACTATAATTATAGTTCCAGTAAAATGTATCCATACTTATTTTCCTAGAATTTCCTAGAATGTTAGCTGAAATATTTACCCAGAACATGACTTTGTTATAAAGTATTATTTTCCTACTGTGAACTATATCAACTATCAATCAGTGAAATTTAATGGTGAACCTGTTGATAATTAAGTGAAGGATTGGCAAGCAGGGTTTATTGGTATCTCTTTGAGTCTTTATATACATGCTATAAAACGTTGTGTGAGATATTGGTATAAGCAGAGAAACTACTTGATTTTATTATTGTCATGAATATTTGAATAAGATTTTCTTGCCTTTATTTCTCATAGGCTTTGTGATGTTTTTTTCAGAAATTTGGGCCCTACATTTCTGCTTAAGTGGTATCACTTTGAGTACTTTTGCATTAACTGCTGTATAAAAGCAATATGCTGTATAAAAACCAGATTATATCGGTAGAGAAACTTCTGTTTTAGCACAAAGAAAACCAGTATTCGTCACAATAGGTACTGTTGAACTACATGGAGGCTCTTTTATCAATAAATCAGCTGAATTTTGGAAATGCTTGGCTTATTTAAATATTGAATGATGGGGACTAGGGTTATTTCAATAAAGTCTCTGAAACGGTTAATTTTTCTCTGCATCAGAGTACATAACCTTTCTATTTCATTTTTAACTATTTTAATTAGTACTTTATAAGCATGTTGAGATAAAATATATTTAAATGATTGTGCATTTATTATAATCTGACCAATTGTTGAATGACATTTAGGTTTTAGTTCAAAATGATGCTGTCCTGAAGATGAATATA